GAAAAGCACTGTCTTAAAGGCCCCAAAAGCAGCCATGGGGATTCTGGGAGTTGAAGTCCACCCATCTTCAAATGGCTACAGCTGAAAAACACTGTCTTAAAGGCCCCAAAAGCAGCCATGGGGATTCTGGGAGTTGAAGTCCACCCATCTTCAAATGGCCATGGCTGAAAAACACTGTCTTAAAGGCCCCAAAACCAGCCATGGGGATTCTGGGAGTTGAAGTCCACCCATCTTCAAATGGCTACAGCTGAAAAACACTGTCTTAAAGGCCCCAAAACCAGCCATGGGGATTCTGGGAGTTGAAGTCCACCCATCTTCAAATGGCCACTGCTGAAAAACAGTGTCTTAAAGGCCCCAAAACCAGCCATGGGAATTCTGGGAGTTGAAGTCCACCCATCTTCAAATGGCCACTGCTGAAAAACAGTGTCTTAAAGGCCCCAAAACCAGCCATGGGAATTCTGGGAGTTGAAGTCCACCCATCTTCAAATGGCCACAGCTGAAAAACAGTGTCTTAAAGGCCCCAAAATTATCCATGGGGATTCTGGGAGTTGAAGTCCACCCATCTTCAATGGGCGGAAGCTGAGAAACACTACATTGTCTTGACACATAATGCAAGCCATGGTTTGTTTTAACTATGGTTCATTTTAATCGTGGTGTATGGACTGAACCACCAGAGCAGAACATTTAAGTTAAGCCATAAACTGCAGTTTATAATGAAAGGGACTGTGTTTATGATCCATGCTGAGCTCTCTCCACTCCTGATCCAGCCATGATGTAGAGTTTAAACGCACTGAGCCGTAAACTATGGTTTAATAGCTGGATTCACCCAGCATGAGGACGGCAAAGCAACCAAGCTTCTGGATTCTGGCTTAGCTGAATGCCTGATCCCCCCAAACAGACTTTCATTTAGGAATTCTTCTTTCTTATCCTCTTTTTTGTTTCTGTTCGTAGGTTTACGACGTACCCTCATCTTTGCTCCGCGATGTGGTTTTGGACACGTACGATTCGCCGGCCCCGCGGGTCAAAAAAGTTGCCCGCGTAGCCCCCCAGCCCAGCGCCCCGACGAATGCGGACGAGGCTTACGACGTGCCGCTCGCCTTCAAAAAGACCCTGGCACAAGGAGAGGAGGAGGAGGAGGAAGAAAACTGCGAAGGGCCACTGATCTACGCCATCCCGTCCAATTTACGCCGGGCTTCCGCCTTGCTTAACTTGTACGAATCCCCCGAAGACATCCGGGCTGGTGGAAAGGACGAGGAGGATGAAGAAGAAGACGGGGCCATTTATGATGTTCCTCTACTGACGCCCAGCACCCCACCCCTGGAGGGAACCCTCCAAGGACTCAATCTAAGGGACCCGGGACCCCCCACTCGTCCCCGGCTGCCGTCCGCGGAGAGTCTGTCCCGCCGTCCGCTGCCGGCTCTTCCTAGCGAGGAGCGGCTTTCGGGCGAGCTACCGCCCCCATCGCCCAACATCGTGCGGAAGGGTAGCATCCAGGACCGCCCGCTGCCTCTCCCTCCGCCCAGACTGGGGGGTCTCGGGGCAGGGGAGCAGCTGGACCAAGCCAGGGATGATGTCCACAACGAATACGAAGGGATCCGTCTCGCCGACGAGTACGACTATGTCCACCTGAAGGTAAGGACGGCCACAACACGAGGCTAACCGCTATCCTGTCCTTGACATTAGGACATCATCTAAATGCCACATGCTTTTGCAGGTAGTCCTCGACTTACGACCATAATGATCACAGTTAATTATATTATAAATATATATTTTACTATATATATTTATAATATTATATTATTATAAATGGTTCCACCACAAAACCGCGGACGACAAAATCGCGGTCGACGAAAGTGCGTATGTGACGTCATCACAGCGCGACG